CAATTTTTATTAGAAAAGCAAGATGATTCCTTTTAAAATGCAAAGCAACATAATGTATTCATTTCTTTTTTATTCAAATTTTATTTCAAAACGACACAGATTCAACGAAATGTTGTCTAGTAAAACATAATAAACTGATTAGAAATTGAATTTGATGAAAAAATATCTCGAAAATGTGTTTATAAGATGTGCAACATTCGATTACTTCTGAAACACAATAGTTTATTTTGCAGATTTAATCCTACAAAAAATTTTACTCATTGCTCTACTCATCATTATGTGTTCAGATAGTTTCAAAGATCCTTAATAGTCTCTCATTTCCGAAAATCTTCGAGAATCAAAATTGCTTTTATGAATTTGTGTACTACATCATTCATGCAACATGTTCATATCGTTATTTCAAAAATCATCTTTTTTTGCCGAAAATTGAGTTTTCTGAGGTCACAGATTCTCCAGATTAACTTATCTATAAGTTTTTATTCGGTTTGGTTCAGTTAGATTTTTTCAGTTTTGTTCAAAAAGAAACGCAACCCGATGCAATCTTCGATGTTTATTATAAGAATCAGCAATTCAAAATCTTATCACAAATTTAAAGAAATTATTTTCTAAATATAAACTAGTGTTATCATTGTAAATAAAATTGATTTTTGAGAATGTTGTTTTTTTTTGAACGCCATTGAAGTTTAATCATAGTTGGTCACGAAGTTTTAATGAAAGTTTATCAAATTTAGAACTTTTCTTTTCTTTGAGAGATGATAATACTTTCAGTTTATTCCTAATTGACAAGAGAAGGTCTCCAAGGGTGAGTCTCACTTTTGAATGGAAGATATACCAGTTTCTAGAGCTAGACGAGCTGATTCTCGTAGGTGTCTATTATTATGTTATTTTAAACTACAAGGAGAACAGTATTTTTTTTTATGAAACTCAATTCCATCATCGCTATGAAGATTAATTATAAAATTATCATACTTAGATGCACTTTAGCGGTCCTGAAAGATATCTTTGCTATGTATCCAGAAGTTGAAGCTTTACTTGTCTTAATAATAAAATAATAATAGACTGTCACATGTGGCATTGTCTATGTTTTAACATGATCATTTTAACTTTAAGTATCTTTCAAGTCTCCAATTTTGAACAACTGTCTCGAAATTTATTCAACTTGAAGAAATCCACAAGTAAAATCGATTCCTCTCTCCTTATTTGAAGTTCTATTGAGAAAAACGGAATACATCATGAGAATCAGCATGACAAGCTCTAGAAACTTGTATATCTTCCATTCAAAACTGAGAATCACACTTGGAAACATTTCCCCGTAAGTGTAAGTCGAAGTGACCATATTTTCTATCAATCTTAATGAAAAGAATCTTGTCTGAAGAATATCATGCAAATAATTTATGTCTACTAATGATGTTATTTTATCATTTTTTTATGTAAACAAAGATAAAGAAATAAAATTTTAATTGATGTCTATTAATGTCATTAAATGATAAACTATTTAAAATCAATCATACATGACATTGATTATAAGCGACTTCAAATAAGAATGAAAACTGACAGTCAATTTTTAAAATAGCATGTGTGATAAGGCACTAGGAACGAACATTATCTAACGCATATGATAACCTTTTTAGAGGACAACGTACTATCGACAGTAATGGCAGCTTAACAGAGCGAATGACTGATTCTTCACAAATAATAGAACAAATATTTTAATCGTCATGAATCGATTCGATTTACCTGATAATTTACCTGTACCGATTGATGATGGTGAATGTGCACATTTAAAAGTTGGTATGAAATTTCCTGTTGATATATTGATTCGTTTACCTACAACTAGTCAACATCCTGTAGACATTGTTAGTCAACCACGTACTATAATATATTTTTATCCTCGAACTGGTAAACCAAACCAAAAACTTCCCGATGGTTGGAATGACATTCCTGGTGCTCGAGGGTGTACACCAGAATCATGTGGCTTTCGTGATCATTATCAAGAATTACAATCATTAGGTGCCAATGTTTATGGATGTAGTACACAAACAACTGAATATCAACAAGAAGTTGTCGAACGATTGAATTTACCATTTGATTTATTAAGTGATTCAAAATTGGAATTATTAAATCATTTGCATTTACCTTATTTTACCTTATCAGAATTAGATAATATTCCATTAATTAAACGTTTGACAATAATAATTAAAAATGATACTATTGAACATGTTTTCTATCCGATATTTCCTCCTGATAAACATTCACAAGAAGTTATCGACTGGCTAAAACAAAATCCAATAAAATAATGTGTTTGGGATATTTTATAGACTTTAGTTGTCTTTTTTCTTAATATTTTCTTAGTTGTTTATTGATGGATGGTATTTTCGTTCTTTGTTATTATTAAGTGAGGAGGATTTCTTGTCAAGAATTGCAATATGAATTTGAGTTGCTGTCGAACTATATTTTTTGGTTCGGAATAAGCTTCAAAAAGAAAAACAATAAATGTTTTTTCTGTAAGAAATTACTTAAATAGTATTCAGATATAGAAATTTTTTGTTTTACTTTGTATCAATAATGAAATCATGAATGTTATTTTGACAAATTTTACACAAAAAGAACAGAATTCATGTAACATCGATTATACGACAAGGTTTGAGCCGTTCAAAAGAAAGTTTTTCATATAATATATCTAATGAATCTTCTTTTTCAAAGTTTTAACGACTGTTTGATATGTTGACAAAAACTCTTTATGCATTGATAAAAGTTTTTCTTTTTTGCATCTTGAATCTGTTATTATTCAATTGAAGATTTATACTTTTCGTATTTGAGTTATGTAATAAAGCAATAATTAGTAGAAAGCATAACAAGGAGTACGACAATATTGTCATGATCAAAATTTATATTTCAAGATAAAATAATCTGTTCGACCTATTTCTTTTTTAAAATTTTGTAGTGAAAAAAGTAACAAGATTCGAATTTTAGTTAATCCAAAATGTCTTCGTTGAAATTCGATGATGTTCCTTGTGACGACAATCGTAAATGATACATACAGTATTATAGGAATTTCTTCCCTAACTGAGCTTCTTATTTAAGTTAATAAAGTAACCTGATGTCCAACATAAATGCATCCTGTTATCTTACTGTGTTTATCAATACCGATCAAAAATTCACAAAACAAATAAAACTGTTTTTTCATAAAAATTTTGTTGGAAAAACTAAAATACAGATGTCATTAATAAAAAGCTTTTAGCACAACTCCTCCGAGATTACTATATGAAACACGATGGAGCTGCTGCTATCGTAAAAAAGAGGATTAATCACTATATTTTGGTTTGTGAATTCCTACTTACTGTTAAAGTAGCATGTTGAATGATGAAAGATATTGATTGCAATATACCGCAGTGAGCGCAAGAGAAAAGTAAAGAATAGATCATCATCTCAAGTCAAAGTCAGTTTTCCAGATAATCTAAAGGACACCACAGCGTTTTGTTGTAAACTCACGTAAAATTTCGATATCTCAAGAAGGAAAGGCTCGATAAACCGAGCTATTATAGACTTTCTTATTATTCACTAGTACCCGCCAATTGAACTTCATCTCGACCAAAAAGCGATTTGACACCTGGAAAGGTTTCCTCGTTAGCTACTAACACAAGATCAAAACACGATCTATATTGTAAGTATGATAGTTGAATAGTTACTATCATGACACGTATCATTATACATCCGAAGAGCGCACAAGGTTGATCACTATTTAAAAAGCAATCCTTAAAACAAAGACTCTGGATAGATATTATAAAAAGAGACTCGACCATGAGATATATAATCATCTTATAAGCGAGTCTATTCAAGTGACAATCTCTGTTTGAGCTTATAGGAAGGACTCCTAAAGTAAAACAAATCCTGAAAAAGTTCGTGCCATTAGGCGTTGCTACTCAACTTATCGTCACTCTAATAAACTGTCAGCTTTTTGCAGGATATCACAAAAAAATCGCAACAAGAGTTTTCAGTCTAAAATTCTTTCCAAAAATAGCTGTCATAGCCCTCATGATATCCTATAAGTTGCAGCTCAAACAAATATTTCCTTTCTGGAATAAAGCGTTTGTAAAAAAAACTTCATGAACAGCCCAGTTTGTAGGTACACGACAACTTAAGAAGAAATTATCCGTTTGAGCTGAAACTTTCATAATAACATAAAAACTCTGATAACTATATTTAAAGAGAGTTGCAGAATCAAACTTCTTGTTGCCATTGTTCTCGTGTTATTCTGAAATAATCTGGAAGTTCAGTAAAATGATCACAAATCGAGAAGAATGGTCTATTGGCACGACCTCTTTCAGGATTTGATTCACATTAGGAGTCCTTCCTATGAGCAAGCTATGAAGTCAAACAGAGATTATCAGTTGAATAGGTTTCCTAGTTAGGCTGAACTAATTCATAGTTAAGATAAGCATAAAATTTTCAATAATAATATATAAATTAATTTCAAGTTGTTCACTATAATTTTTATGTGTTCATAAGCCAGATTTCATATAGTGCAAGTACATGGATGCTTATCAATGTATATAAAAATGAATAAAAGTTTATTATCATATGAGATTTTCCACATAAAAGATCCATCATGATACCTTTTAAAAGCAATAGCAGAAAACAAAAAATAAGGGAATGTACAAATGATGACAACATTATTAAAATTATCACAATTATAATCACTTGCTCGAGATTCAGCAAAACAAAAAAAAAAGACAAAAAGAAAATTGAGATTGGAATAAATCGTTTCTCTTGAATGTTTTCATGTATAATTAATCCATGGTTGTTGAGCAGGTGTAATATAAATTCTCGTTTTACCATGACGACATTGAACAACACCACGATATGCTGTTCGTGGTACATTACTCTAGAATAAAAATATATCATGTAAGAATCTATTCATAATAATAAAAAAAATTAAATGAACTTGGCGCAATCGAAATTTCGTTATTTTTATTTTTTGTGTTGTTCATCCTCGTCTTATGTCGTTATCGTCTCGATTAAACAATATTTCGTCTTCGTCAAAACAGTCGATTATTTCATTAAGTAATATTGATACAACATCATCTCATAACAATAATCAATTCGTTTCTTATAATAATAATAAAATTTTCTATGATGAAAAACAACCTATTAATACAGTTTCATCCGATATCAAATTTAATCAAACTATTGATCAAGCTGTTGAATATTTCGAACAAATTCTTACACAATGTGTTACACCATCAACTACATCACTGAACAAAGATAATAATCAACAAGATCGTAAAAATGATATAAAATTAAAAATTGAAACTAAAAAACGTGATTGTGAAGAATTTTTAAATTCATTAAATAAAAAACCAAATTTTAAAATAAAACAACGTAATCAAAAAATTGATTGTCGTAAATGGTGTGAAGAACAAAATCAACGAATGACAAAATATTATAATTCAATTGATGATAATAATAGAACATATGATTCAAAAACTCGAAATATTTCTGGATCAATATTCTATTGTCGTAAAGCTCTTTTACAAAAATCTGATGGTATTACTTATATTTGTATTCGAAAACGATTTAATTAAAAAATTTATTTAATTTTACCTTAAGATCATTCATGATTTCCAGAGTATTTGCTATAGCAACGAATTCCTTTTGATTACTATAACGTAATTGTGCACATTTAGTATCATTATTCATTTGATTTAAATCAGATAATGTTATCACAGGACAAGTATCAATACGAGCTTGAAACTTTTTATCATATCGATCCTAGGAAAAGAAATTTTACCTTTTATCTTTAGTTTAACAGTAAAAATATAATTATTCAATTTACTTTGACAAGATAGCTAATATCAATAGTTTTCCAATCAATAGGATCAGTATTTTTGTTTATTTTCTTCAAGTAATGATCATAAAATTGACCTCTAGATATCGATAGAATGAAAAATGAAACTAATTTAACCAATATACATACCCACTAACACCTTTTTTACCTTCCGATGATATACCTGTACGTGAAACTTCTGGTCGAATACATGCTCGATCACGACGTTGTTCCGGTTTTCTCATCCAGTCATCCCAAAAACTATTCAGTATAGGAAAAAAAATTAATTTTTTTTATCTCTTATTAAAGGAGAAACATGCATAAGAGATCTCTTTGACATACTACTATTTTTTCTTGAGTAAATACATTGAATCGTATACTAATAGAAAGGTTATGTTAAGACTAACATTTTGAAACTAGCTTCATGAAGTTTTTGTCAAATGTTGAAACTTAAAAGTTATCAATAAAGTAACGTAGTTTCGTTTATGCTTTAAATAATCTATGCTATAACGATGAATTCCATTTGAAAAGAAACAGACAAGACAAAATACTACTTCAAGTATGAGTTTTATAGTTCTTTCAGGATGCTTCAATCTCATAAAGGTAGTCTCATAAGTTCTAGACATCAACAAAAATTAGTTTGTATGCATAAAAACCATGATCGCTATCTAACTATATCTATATGAACTTCATGTACCGAGGAAGATATTTTACAATGACATATTATCTAATGATATTATTTATTTTCAGAGTAGTTGTATTGAACAAATATTTTAAATTTGAAAAATTGAAGTGACCAAAACTGTGGTATTGCTCATTTGATAGCTCTTTTAAAAAGCTACAAAATACTATATTTTCTAAAGTCAAACAAATCTAGGCACTTAACAAGTTTCTTAGGATACTCTTCTTCAGACGTAGTGTCTTTCTAATCAATATTTAGAAGATTCCAATAAAAAAAAATTCAATTTGAATCAAAACTAATAGAATATGTGGGTTCGACATTAAAAAAAACTGAGTTGATTTACATGTAATTTAAAGAATTTTTGAAGTTTTTTCTTTTATTTGTCTTTAAATCACATAAAGACCAACTCCGTTTTTATGCTGACACCGAATATCATACTAGTTTTGACGCAAAACTGGACTTGTTCTGATCGAAAGTTTCTATACATGGATACGTAAGGCATAAAAATACGCCTCAAGAAAAGTATGTTGGGGAATTTTTTTAGGTGACCAGATTTTTTCGATTTTGGAAAATATAGGACTGTTTAGCTCATCAAAAGGCCTATCAAATGAGTAATACCAGAATTTCAGTTATTTCAATTTTTAAATTAAAATATTTGTAGTAAGATAAGAGTCGATCATAAATATAGGAAATATACTAATAGTATCCACCATAAAATGTATAATTTCAATAGTATTGTGTCTTGACTGCTTATTCTTAAATTGAATCCAACATGATACGAAGAATTATTAGAATAATAACCAAAAATGCGCTACTTTTTTTTGAGAACTTTTAGTTTTCAAAGTCCGACCAAAACCTCATCAAATTAGTAGCACAATGTTAATCTCGTCGATATATCATTCAATGAATTTGTTCAAGATAAATACTAATGAACCGATTAGATCTCTGAAATGTTTCAGTTTTATCAACTAACGCTTTTGGCCATTTATCTTTTATTTCATTCCATACTGTCTTTGTTAACAACCAACCAAGACCAGGAAAAAAATCACTACGATGAAGAAGATCTTTTAGGGAAAATAACAAAAAAAACATCATTGTGTTAGATGAAAAAAATTCTTTTCTTACTTGCTTGACGATCAATTTTTTTATCAATACCATTATCATTCCATGCTGATATACACCAAACAGTTTTATCATATTTCAATAATGGATAAAGTGCTTGAAAATAATCGAGAAAATCAGGTGAAACTTCTAAATCATCTGTAGAAGAAGAAAAAACCAAGCGATCAAGTGTTGTTTTCAAATTAAATTTTTTAAACCTTCAGTAATAATTATAGCTTCATAATTAAGTACATTCAGAACATGATTAAGTGAATAACCATAGTGACGTGCTATCCTATAATATCCAGATAATTGATTCTCGTTTGCAGGAACCTCAAGAGGACCAAGATCTGGTAACTAAATGGAAATTAATCATAATTCTTCTTTGGAGTTTTTCTTTCGTATAACAAAAAAAATTCATACTTCAATAATTGTTTTAATTTTATCACCGAAACTTTTGGCAACTTGAATTGTTGCACTGTCTTGACAATCTAAACTAATAATTATTGGATTTAATTCAGTATTTTTTCGAATTCTAAATAAATAAAAATTGATTATTGTCTTGAAAAATTTCTTCTCTTTGTATTACATACTTAAGCAGAGCTTCAATGTGAATTTGAAGAGCACGTGGCCGATTACAAGCAAAAACAACAATTGGCAATAAAACATCGATTTTCTACGTTCAGAACAGGAAAGAAAACGAAAATTCGTTCATCATAGAAAAACATACATAAAAGAAAATACCGATAATAGAGATACAGTTACTGGTGGAATAATACTTGATTGTATGTTTCGAGTAGTTCGTGTATTGATTGGTAATTCCTAAAGAAAATCTATCCAGACGAAATCAATTAAAATAAAATTTAACAACAAACTGGTTCATTTTTATTTGATGATGTATGAAAACCTTTAATACTTAATAGTAATATGATGTTGATAAGAAAGAAAATTCCTGTAGTAATAATAATTTTTCTAATAACTTTCGATCGCATATTTGCATATCTTCCATTATTGTTGATATCTCATCATCTACAATAATTAGTTTTTTTTTTGTATTCTATTCAAACAAAACCTTGACTCTTTTTATTTCATTATTTATTAATTCTTTCTTTTTTTCGATACTCCAATGTCAAAGAAAAAGAACACAAAATTCATTTCAGTGAAATTCGATCGAAAAAGAATGTTGAAGTATAAAAGTAAAACTTTGCACTCACCTAATACAGACGTAGCCATAAAAACATTATAGATCCCAACAGACACAAGCATAGAAGCTCATAGATCGTGATAGATGCCGTAGTAATACTCATAGCCCTCACATGTCACAGTAGTTTTTGATATACGATCAAAGACCGTATACCACAAGCATCTCATAGTAATACACGAACGATTTTCTTATTATATTTTTGAAGCATTAAGTCAAAGTAGAGTGAAAAAATTCGTCTCAAAATAGATAGAATAAAAAAAAAATTCTTCCGATGATTAACACGAGTAATCATATTGTATGTTACATTTTAACTCTGCATGCTTTGAAAATTTTTTAATAGTAGAAAAATAAAAAAAAAAGAATTCAATCTCAAGGCAAACAATGCGATGTTGTTGCTGATCTTTTTATTAACCAATCAAAACAAGAAAAAACAAAACAAGAACACAATTAAACATTAACACGAACTTTTTTTTTACTTCTTCCACCACTTTTTATTTTTCGTTCTTCACTAGCATCAATTAATGTTGGTACATCATTATCATCATTTTCATTTTCTTTTGAGGCTTGTTTAACAGCAGCTAAAAGACGTTTTCGTTTTTCAGCTTTCGGTGCTGGTTTACTAGCATAATTTTGTTCAATATGTTTTGGTTTTTCATTTTTCTTGGCAAGTTTAGTGTCAGCAACACGTTTAACAAATGCAGTATCAACTAAAGGTTTATTATCAGTATTAAAAACTGGTAAATCTTCATCTTTATTAATTTTCTTTTCTTTTTTTGATTTAGTTTTTGTTGAACGTAGTTGTTGTTGTTGTTGTATACCTTTAATCCATGTTTTTTGTAAACGTTTTATTGGTTTTTTCTTGTTAACATTATTGCTTAATTTAGTTCTTTTTGTTAAATGTATATTTCCACTTGGTTCTACAATAACATTAAGATTTTTTTCCAATGTTGATAATTCACCTATTTCTGTTAATTCATTATGATTATTTAATGGAAGATTTAATTTTTTAACATCATTTTTATTATGTGTACTATAATAAATTGGTAATGATTGTAAATTATTTCCATATAAATAAGCGTGGTCAATATTGAACCAACTACCAGGTAATTCTTTATCAATAGTTTGACAGATTGTTTTAAGATTTTCAATACCATGCTCAATAGATTGTTTAACAGTTGTAAATTGTATAGAAAAAAGTGGTCCCGTACCAGCCATACGACCATATGTTGATGAACACAATGATAATAAACGTTGTTTAAAATCTTTATTAAAAACATTGATACCTAATGGCATTTTTCCATGATACCGAAAATGTTTACCAAGTAATTGACCACGCATTAATGATGTCATTATACGTCGATCAGCAAGAAAAAGATCATAACGTGAACATAATTTTCGTTTAGCTTCATATGGAACTAATTCCTAAAATAAAACACACCATTTGTCTATTTATTTTGTCAGAATGGTGTCGAATGTGATGATCTATCTTGAATCAGGATACGATACATCAGTTCTACATGTATTGAGAGACAATGTTCAATAGTTTTCATTGTGGCATTTGTCATACTTAAAAATGATTCGTTTTCTTATATCTCGATTATTTCTTGACTATATGATATTTTTGTGTGTTCAACTCTATATATACTACAGAACAAGCATCATTGTAAAACTTTGTAAAAATCACACACTATCGAACCCTATATGTTTCACACATAACATCTTTCAGAAAAACAGAAGCTCATTGTAAACTTGCAAGATGATTCCTATAAGATTGCTTATTTTCCTATATGCAAGACTCAACCAATCAATTAATAATGTTTATGTATTGATAATTAGTATAGCCTCCCAGATGAATTGATACTAATAACTTCTTTATAAATGGAAAAAAAAATATTTAACTTCGAAACTACTGGAGAGATGTAAGTATATAGGGTTAGGAAAATATGGTCTCTTATTTTTATTTATTGTTCATTTCAACAACAAAATTTTTCCATGTTCTAGTACTTTCTCCAGGGATCTGTAAGTCAACGAAAAACTTTTTTTCGTCGTTGATTCAAAGAGTTATTTATATGAGTTCATCAAGAATACGATACTTATGCAATTTTTAAGAAAGTTTCACGTCGAACAAAACTACATCTATATGATATCCTGGTCCAAGATAGGTCATCAAATTCAGCAAGATTCTCTTCATTTGTTTTACTTGATTAAGTTGTTTAAGTGTCATGATTTCAACATTGAATGGCAGTTTAAATTGATCAATCATGGATTTATAACGACGTATTGTTGATTCATATTCTCGACCATTAATATCATCATCACGTACAAAAAGACATACATCACGTGTATCTTGTTGAATAAATGGATGAGGTAATTGAGATGAAAGACGAAGATAAGTACATCGAGGTATTTTGTGTACGTGAAGATAAAGACTTATTGGTGTTGATTCATCTAATAATTGTTTATGACCTTGTTGAGCATTATTTATAATTTTTTTAAGAGCTATTAATGCTTTTCGACATACATCAAAATCAAATGGACATTCAGATGAATTTTTTTCTTTAGTTGAACTCTCTGTTTTTGTTTCAGTGGATTTTGTTTTCATCTTAAAATATACCTAAATAAATATTATATAAATATATAGATGTAAAAATGTTTGCACCATTTATATAAAAATAATTCGAATTCGAATGAATGAATCAAATGAAGAAAAGAATTCAAAAGGTTGATACATATCACCAATGTAAAGAAATCTTCGTTGGCCTTCACGTATAGAAACAATATGGATTGATTAAAAGCGACATCTAGTTTTCACACCGATATTTTAGATTTCTTAGAAGAAAAGTTACCACCTCCTCAAGTCAAACAAATGGAAACAATGCGGAAAGCTTTTTTTTTGTGAATTCTTCGCATTTCTATGGGTTTAAATAACATATTACTTCTTCTCATGATACTTCTTTATTCTAGAAATCCTGAAACATAACAAACAATATATAGAGAAAACGAATATTTTATTAATCACATCATTTTTTTTAAATATAGTTACATTTACTTCAATGTATTTGTATTTCCATAGCTATTGAATCTACTGACATTCAGTTACAAAAACCATTAAACAAAAGTAAAATTTCCGAAAAAAGAAACACTTTCAACATTAGCGTTGTTTGTTGAAATAAAGCATCATATCAGTGATAATAGATTGTAGACGACAGCTATCACAACTAACTTGATATTAACGGATTTCATTATCTCATATTTTTCAATAAGTAAATAAACAAAAGTTTCATATAAATCAGCGGAAGAGATAACAATCCTGTTAAGAGTATAGATTTATTCAGTACGAAATAACATTTACATAGAACACTAGAAAAGGTTTTTCGTCGGATTCACTTAAAAGTTGTAATTTTACTGTAGGGTTTTCTACAGTAATGTTTAGATATATGCAGGATTATGCGCAAAGTTTCAGACTTTTAGGTCTTAAGCATCGGTATAATTCTTCATTTCTTTCAAATTAGTAATATACTATTTACGATGTGAGTTTCGAATTGTTATAGAAACGATTTCGAATAATGATTTTATATGACTGGAAAATTTGCTTGACATATAATGAAAGCCATGTTCGTTTAGTGCAGGCAATACGAAGGTGGAGACCAAGCACCTTCAGATTGTACAGTTCTCAATTGATTTCATCTATTTCAACACGGCAATTATAGTGTTGAAGATAGTACCCGTTCAGATCGTCCTCCAACTGCTGTCAACAAAGAAACGATTGACTCAATATACAAACAAATAGATGACATGTTGCGCATTAGGTCACTATCGGTTAATTGAATAATTTATGATCATTTGAAGTTGCGCAAAGGTAGTGTACGATCGATATCACTCCCTTCATATATTCGACATTCATACCGATGATGAATTATGGTGCTGTCATTATGATCCAGAAAAGAGTAGTCAAAAGTTTGAGTCTCAAAAAGCTGTTCGCACTTAACCAAAGTACATCAAAACAAAAGTACCAGCAAATGAATGGCAGCTATTTTCTTTATGAAGTCTGTCTCAAACAAGTATATACCATTACAACCTGGTAACAAAACAAATGCCAGTTAGTACGTCAACAGTTGCCTACTAGAAGTCTTCAAAATTGTACCAGAAGGAAGACAAGAGACGAATCTTTCAGACCTCATTTTCTATGATGACGATAGCAGGTCGTATATAGTCTAGATTATTAACGAGTTTTTGACCGAAAAATCATGTAGAATCATACTCAAATGCAGCTTTTTTTCCAGATCTAGGTTCGTGCGACTGCTTGTTGTTCCCAAAAATAAAAAAGCAATTACATGAGATTCAGTTCGACGATGACCAAAGCACAATGCTAAATGCATTAGAACAAGCCATTGACAGTCTTATAAAAGGCAATTTCAAAAACTGCTTCTTTGATCCGTTTATTCAAATACAGAAATAATGCATTGATGCTAATAGACAGTACTTTGAATATTTGTCTAAAGGTCTGGAAAAAACACCTTTCTAGTGTTCCATCTATTATTCTTAAGTTGTCTTCTAGTCTTTTTCAGTTAATCGAGTATTGTCTTATGACTCTTTAAATATCTTTTAATCAGTTAAATAAAAAACTTTTGTGAGTGATTGTCAAGAATGAAGGTGATCTGTTATCACAATAACTTAAATTTTCATTTAACATTGGAACATCTTCACAACTGACGTAACAATATTTGACATAATATGTTGTCATTTGGGTAAGGTTGTATGAGACTAACAGCTTTCTATAGTTTGAATCGATAAACTTCGAAGATCAAAATTTAATGTTTTTATTTATTAGAAATTCAATTCTCTTCCTGTGCTAACGAATTAACGTCTGAAATTCTTAATACATTATCTTTATTTGTGATGGTTAACTTAAATGTTATCATTGTAATTATTTTCTATGAATCTCCTGATGTTTTTATAGGAGAACACATGAAGAAAAAAAGACTCATACAATAAAATACTATCTCTTCCCAAGATGAAGAGAATACGAAATCTATATATGCTCGGAAATGACTATATTTTGGTATATTATATAGCTTGGTTTTACGATCGTTTTTCTCCGTATCGCATATAGAGAAACATGACCGTTTACAGCAAGATACTACGTAAAACGGAAGTCCTATATGGACTCTGTAAATGATCGTATTTCTTTATATGTGATATGGAGAAATACGATCGTAACACTGAGCGGTGTAATATATTAATATATGACCAGTTACAGCACATTGACGAGCTTGCTGTTTCGACCTGGATCTATTCCGAGATCATATGAAAAGTGTAACATAGGTTTACACCATCAAATATGTCGAAATATGAATTCCAAAGCCTAGATTCATCTTATACTTTTAATTTAATTGACACTTACTGATAGCAAAAATATAGAATCAAATGATTTCTTACAGTTGCATACAATAAATTTGTATTGAAATAGAAATGACATTCTGAAGTGTTAATCTACAGTTTGTCTTTATGTTTGATAAAATAAGATTCGACTTATTGTTTATTGCAAAAAAAAATAATAAAATTTCATATTCCACTTGAAATTTGAGTAATTATGAAAATGAATATAGTCATCGTAAGAAAAGAACACAATCAAATTTCAATTTTCCTATATTTCAATAATCAAATCGATTAAACAGAAATCGTTACCACCTGCCAATCGATTCACAGTTCAACAATGATTGTTGTTGTTTGACTGATAGTGATAGTCAAATGATCATATTCACTTTCTCTTTTGTCAGTTACATCTCTATCTATTTATCTTGAATTGATTGTTTATAAAATGAGCTTAACAGATATACTAGTTGCAATCTCATGAGAACGATCATCATCATTATTGATTTAAAAAACAAATGAAGAAAGAAATTATTCTCTATTAATTTATACACAAGACAAATGATCTACTTAGTTTAATAATAATAATGATAGAATTTAATTATAGTTAAATAACATATATGTATAATACACATGCTTTCGATCATGCTGTGTAATTGACGAGAATGATCGGATAAATCATTAAAAAATATCGATGTCTACATATATATCTTCATGTATTTGATTACGTCTATATATATTCAACGCTCTGTCTATGTCTGCAATGTTGATGAGGGACAGAGAGCATATACATATACATATATATATACACAAGTGTTGTTGTTGTTGTTATATGTACTATATATAATAAAACCTCGATAATGAAGCAATTATGGTCAGTTCTCTTTTTTTTCTGACTTTTGCTCTTTTTTCTTTCCATCTCATACAGATAATTCGTGTATTAATCGGACAGACACGATAGTTAAGATTTCTTATTCTTTTTTTTTCTTCTCTTAGTTTCTTATATTCCCAATCCGTATCCGATTGGCCTTATCCTTGCCATATATATGTTATCAGAAACACGCACTTGCATACAGGGTGGAGAAGAAAGACGAATGATATCTAGCAGTGTATCATGCAAAGCAAAGCTAATGTCGATCATCACACATATATTCAACAAACGTTTTCCTTTCTTTTTCTCTTTTAGAGAAAGACAGAAGATAATACTGTCAAAGAACAAATTCGATTACTTGATTGCTAGTTGTATACTAGTCAATATTATCACAAGAGAATGGCATTTGACTTATGTGTATAATACCAACAAGGTGCTATTCGATATACTCTTGAATGTTAATCGGTGTCGCCGCTGTTTTCACAATTTCTTGTCAAACATGACACTCATCATCAGTTGTTTTTTTTTTTGTTTGTTTCTATTTCTTTATATCCGTGTCATTATACGACCAATGAATTAACTGTATAGAAAAAAAGAAAAAGAAAAATTGAAGAAGAACAAAAAAAGATTGAAAAAAAAAAAAGACAACAAAAATCGAAAAACGTACAGACATAAACAAAATGACGACAAATAATATATATATATTTATATCAGTTTTATTCCATATAAATAGGTCAAGTAAATTTTCGAGCATTAGCATAAAGTGATGCAGCATAAAGTGGTGATATAAGTGGATAAGGATTTGTTGTTGAACAATTTGTTGATGATGAATTGCCGACTTGTTGTTGTTGTTGTGAATTATAAAATGAAGCAGCACAAGCAACATAAGCTGCAGCTGCAGCTGAATGCATTCCTACAGATGATGAACCAACTGTTGTTGGTATTGTTGGTGAATTAACATCAAGACCAGGATTTTGTTTTTTCCATTTTGTTCGTCGATTTTGAAACCTATTTTAATTACAAGAGATAAAATCTTTTTTTGTTTTGTTTTGTTTTATAATATAGAAAATTCATACCAAATTTTAACTTGTGTTTCTGTTAATGATAATGATAATGCAAGATTAAGTCGTTCGCAAACTGATAAATATCTTGTTTGTTTAAATTTATTTTCTAATGCAACCAATTGTTCATATGTAAATGCTGTTCGTGCTCGACGTGGTTTTGATGGTTTATCCGCTGTTGATGAACTTGTTGATGATGATTTTGATTTGTCACCATCACTTATTGATGCATTTAAATCATCATCATGTATTTTATCACCATTTTCTGATAAACATCCATCTATTAAATAAAAGATT